CAAAAATATAGATTTAAAAATTTATTTAGATGCCCGAATGAAAAAAATCCAACTGTTTTTAAATATCAATTTCTATGCTTATAACACAATTTACGCAAGCACAATGCACGTTCAAACACAAATGAATACCAGTTTATATGAGAGAATAACGCTATAAAACTATGTGATAATTTAGTGGTAGCACACCTTCACAACGATCCCTTCACCAAGATGACAACGATTGCAAAAAGTGACACCCCATTTTTTTACCGGTGAAGACACAGCACAGTGTTACCGTAACACCGTTAACACGTGTTTTTCCCGCCATAATTTCGAAGGGCGAAGTTTGGTACTAAATTTCGCATGTATTAAATTTCGCTAGTCTCTCATGCGATAATTAGCGCCCTTCAAGGCGATAATTATCGCGTGAGAAACACACAACATACGAAAATTAAGACGATAATTATCGAGGCGAAATTGTTAAATTTCGCTAGTATAAGTGTCTCTGGTCTTGTGAAAGGGCGATAATTATCGCGTGAGAGACTAGCGAAATTTAAGACATGCGAAATTTAGTACTAAATTTCGCCCTTTAGAGGCGATAATTATCGCGTGTTACTAGCGAAATAATGTGGACGAAATAGGATTCCGTAATAATGTACTGTGCAACATAACAAAAGAGATATCTACGTAGGCATGTACATATATCTTTGTGTATTGTTCAAATGCTTTATATAGCTCGAGCCTTGTTGATTATCATGGTGCGAAAATGTTCAGCTAGACCGAGACTCGAACATGAGACCCTTTCAATACCTTTCAGTGCCTCTACTGACTGAGTTATTTTGCTATTTGTAAATACATTTTCTCCAGTTCTAAACGGTGAGATACACATGTACTCGTTATTCGACTAAAAAATCGAAGTAAGTATTTATTCCTAAATAAGGAAACGCATTTCTGATGTTAAAATGTTCAATCAAATTTATGAGTTAGTTTATACAATTTGATGAAACGAATGACAAAAACCATAGTTAGAGACTATGGTTTTTTTTAATTTATTGGTAACAAGTGATGCCTTTCAACTAAATAAAAGATTGAGACCAGTCAATGGCATTATGTCTGTCAGGTGCGAATCCAGTGGTTATTTAGTAGGGGAGGTTGGACAATTCTTACATGGAATTATGCACTAACTAGAGGGGCTTGACATCTTATTTTTACGGGGGTCATGAGTCAACATTTTGTTGTTTCGTATTTGTATTTACATGATTTTCGTTTAAAAAAGTATCCAAATTTCAGAGGGGTTTCCACATACTAGCCAAATTCCAGGGGATTGGAGGGGGCTCAAGGCACCTTAACATCCCCCATTTTTGGATCCGCGCATGAAGTCCTGCGAGTATAAATCCCAAACAGAGACTTAAGTAATGAGAACAATGGTTGACAGATAGGACTGTAGGAAAAGAAATAACAACATGCTTTACAATCTTTGTTTACATTAGGAACTAGCCACATTCCAATGTGTGAACACAAGCAAAAATGCATAAAAGTGTTTGGCTTGTTCTGTTAGAAGTCAAATTATATCATCGATTAAATCATGACTTCCTTTTGTTTGCCAAGTTTTGTTCTCTTGTTTCTTGTTGTTTTCTTTGTAACTTACTCTCAAATCTTCTTTATGACTTTTCTAAGTTTCCATCCAATTTAATCGTTTACGGAATTCTTTTAAAGCTTCGTATTTTTCAGGATCCTCCTTCATTTTTTTCCACATCATCTTAAACTCTTTTCTCCGCTGTCTATTCTCTAACCTTTTCGCCTGACGTGCATCCATTTTATCTTGTCTCGCTGCGTCTTTTCTCGCCCATCTTTCTCGTAGACGTGAGATCTTTTCATGCATTCCTTTGCTTTCCAGTTTTTCAATTTTTGCCGACCGCCTTTCTTTCATCAATTTTATCTTGTTTATCCTATTTTCAAGTCGAGCCAGCTTCTTGGCCTTTCGTCTCGCCTTTACTTCTCTCCATGCCAATTGCCTGTAAAGTTTGACAAAAGTATTTAGCGATATTTACTTCTCAGCTCTTTGTCATTTGAATTATGACCCTGATTTTCAAATAAAAGCCTTCACTGCGAATGATTAACTACTGTACACTGTTCAATGCAGACTGACGAAAGAATTGCGAATAAAATACTGCAAAACATCAAAGCAATGTTCAAAGCTACATATGATTTGACATACAGGTTGTAGACTTTTAAAAATCTTTCAGCTGAAAATGCATAACAGACAGTGTCAAAGTATCATCCAATCAATTGCGGACAGACAAACTGACGATGAACATTTGACAAAATAACAAAAGTTTCTTTCTTATAATTCAAACAAAACAAATTACAGTGAAAGTCTCACATTTAAAAGTATTTAGAGAGACACAATACCTTTATTGTGAAGGTGTTAATTTATGATGTATACTTACATTTCCTGTCCATTCTCATTATCTTTAACTTTGTCTTCGTTATAATCATCTTCATCTGACTTGACACTATTAACTTCACCATCGCCATTGGCATCCGATTCGTCACATTCCAATGTGACGTCACGGTGTTTAGTGAGCCAAAGACGTTTGCAAGAGCACGGATTTGAGCTATAAAAAATGCAATAACTGCTGTCTCAATTGTTCTAAAAACAATTTCTAAGCTAAAAATCAAATCTCAAGTAATTATAATTGTTCAGAAACAGGAACAAAATATAAACTGACCAATCAAATTTCTGAGCTAAAAATGTTTTATTTCCTCTAGGCCAGAATTTTTGATCACAAAACATTATGAAATCTGTGCATAGACGATTGTGTACATTGTACATAGGGGAGATAACACAACATTGTTAGTTTCTAGATATCTAAGATATAACTATATGTACAAGATTTCACTGAAAGTATGCATACAATTCTATATCTTGATTATCATTACTTTAGTGCATAGACATCTTATTAAAGCTGTTACTATAACATTTATACTTACAAGCACTCAGCATCCGGAATATTTGAACACGTGAAAAACGTGCAAAGATCGATGGGACACCTGGTTTCTTTACTGTCAGCGCCACACTCTGGAATATACAAATGTTCTGTTACAATAAAATCAGGGAAGCTGTAAACTGTCTATAACAGTGCTAATAAAACAGTATCTTGAACAGGGGATTGTGTTATGGACAGTCATTTCATCCTTACTATGCTAATGGTCGTACTACTTTGATACAGAAACACAAAGTGTTATTCAACAAAGCAAACTCCATAATAGCCAAATGCATGTCCCTTTCCAAAATTAAGACACTTTGGAATGTCAAAGTGTGATAAGTTATAAAGATTTGTGATACTAAAAACGGTTTTATTTTAAAGAAGTCAAATCCGATCACGCTTATTCGTGTTATATATATCGCATTGCCGTTTAACAAGTTCATTTAATCACTAAACATGCTTATTTACGAATTAATAATAGCTCAACAAGTATTGTATTTGGTTTAAATATAAAAAAAGTAAATAAAATATTTGCAACAGACTTGAGGGGACCTGCCCATTTGGCGGTTACGAGGCTTGCCGAGTTACCGCCCAATGGCGGGCTCCCGAGGGAAGGATATTCTGATCCGAACCGCAAACATGTCAGATTTTTTCTTGCATATTCTATCATATTCCATTATATTTTAAACACTTACATGTACTTTCAATTAAACATTTTTTTTAAAAACTTACAAACCTGGTCGGGTACACTTAGAGCCGCAACATTTATCGGTCCCGTTACAAACGAAGTCCGTGACACATTCCAACCCTGATGCTTCCGTCGTAACAGCTTTACGTATTGCTGGACAGTAACCTGGTTTCTCTTCTAAATACATAAAGTGTAAGACTTTTCTTTTGAATACATATAGTCGGTTTATCAATACATTTTCTGGGACAAAGCATTTTTACGTCATTAGTCGTTATTTAGAAACATGGGCATTTATTTTGCCTTCTGCGTAAAAAATGAATAGTTTACTCAAAGCCCATACTCTCAAGGAACGTCAGTAAAATAGTTTGTTTTAAGAGTATAAAGCTGAATTCAAATAAATGACGTTAGGGAAATTCTTAAGTTTTATGCCAGGATGTGAATATAAAATCAATTTCAAAAACAGGTGCTACATCTATTATACTAAATACACAATTAAATCCCAAACAACAAAATGTAAAACAAGTAAAAGAACACTCCATATTCGTATCTTCTTTTAAATCAGTATTAAAAATTTATCGCACGCATTGCATATATCATCATCATCAATCATTATCATTCTTATTATCATTATCATCACCATAATCTCAACATCCTTATTCTGATTCGCATTATTTCCATAATCATCATAAAATAACACTTTAATTAACAATAATTATTTAAATATGTAAAGCTCAAATTCGCTAATAGAATACAATTTAAATATGTTCACAAATTCATGTTCAATAAAATGCTCATAAGCCGAATTATCTTACCCCACTACTCGTTTAATGTCATTTTATTATATGGTGATAAAAATGCAAAATAAATATATTACTTGCACAGTTATATGAACAGTTATATTAAAATGGTATCATAAAATAATGTAAATGTTATCGTGTTCGACTTATGTTTAATGTAAATTTAGAATGCTTACGAAAATAAGAAAAATAAACAGAAATAGTTATTTTTCTAACCTGCAACACCTATAGCAAACACCGTTAATATCAAGATTCCTATCTTCATTTTCGAATAATAACAATAATTAACTTTTTTTCTTTCCAAGACGTAAACAATATGTTTTTCCAGGTTATGTTTTGCCTGGCTTATATACCTGCGTTAACAAACACGCAAACAACAAACTCGTCCAATACACATCAAATACCATTTTTTTTTAACTAATGTCAAGGACGGGTCAAGTGCGTTTTGTTTGTTCGCACGTAATATTCATCACACCGTATTATCGGCACAAGTTTGACTCGTCTCCCTATTTCATAAAATATTCTAGCAGGTTAAAAATCGCAACCTCAGAAAATTCCTTAATTGTTTTTTTTCCCCGCAAAATTTTTTTTTTCATAAATAAAGGAATTCTGTGTCATACAACAATCATCATGAAAGGTCACGCTTGCAAAATTTAATAATTTTAATAACAACCAAGTGCGTCTTTTCTTGAGATTGTTACACGCGTCCAAAGTAGCCCGGTAGGAGTGAAAACACCGCCGACCTGTGCAGGCAGAAATCCCTTTTTTATTTTTTTTTTATTTATTTATTTATTTTTTTATTTTATTTTTTGAGATGTGGAAATTTTTTGGTAAGGGTGACTTTAGAACAGATCAAATAAATGCAGATCTTTATTTTGGTTGCTAATGTTCTGAAGCTCATACAATCATTTTGCATTTGGGAGGTAACTGTATATAACACCAACATCTCCGACTAGAAGCAAATTCAATCGAATCCATTGCTGCTGCACAGCTGTAGTAAGAACATATCTTAGGTTGTTTCTTTATTCAAAATGATTCCATTCCATGTTTAAATATTGACTAATCTGTTTCAGCCGATGTTTTTGGAACGTTGATGGTAGTTTCCCCTTTTCAGTACCGACCATAAATTTTCAATTTTGAACCAAGTTTATAACCTGCCTTTAGTTATCAGTAACCGCAGAAATCTGTCATCTTTGGTGCCGGTTATACGGTGTGTTCATACAAAACAATAGACTAGCACAAAAAAATGAATAAAAATATAAATCATTCATAATACATACATAATAAAAATTTTATCTATACAGAATGAAAATTGTTTAAAAACTCGTATAACACAGATATTATATATATTACTAAAGAAAAACACGAAATACAATCATTACATTATGCATGGTTTTTAATGATCATCATTTATAGAACCATGCGTTTTATTTAACTGGCAGTAGTACGCAGGGGAAAATCTAACTTCGTTTTCAAGACTAAAATGGCGGCATGACCGAGTGGTTAAATGTCCGGACTTATACTCTAAGGACCGCTGGCCGGGTTCATACCGCCGTCAGCTTTCATAAGCAAGAAAGTTTCATTGCTTAGTACTGGTTGGTTCTATGAACGGATTCGGGAATATTTCAATTTCTTTTTAGCTTCCAATACAATCGAACTAAAACAAATTCGTATGAACTTACCAGGACCACTAAGATTTAATCATTCATATTTGTTTAAAAATAAATTATTAACCACATTAAATTTTGATATTATAAATGTGCGCGAAAAATATAATCATAGTTTTCTCCGATAAATTGAACAGTTATAAGCTTGACTGATTTTTATTGATTCTTCTTTCAATAAACCATTTAGAAATTTGCCGGACCTGATTAGTCTAATTGAAAGTCCAATTTCGTCATTCTGCCGAGTGCGCATGCGCAAGTGTATATGGTCAAGATACTGATCAATTTCAATAGCCTGCCTTGTCCCTCTGATTAAGGCATTTAGTAACTAACTAGAGTAATTTTTAAGTAAGGTGTATATAACTTAAACCGTCAATAGAATGCTTACTCGTAGAACATAAAGATTTACAAGTATAGATGTTTAACAATCAAAATAAATGAAAATGGTCAACCAAGTTTTTTAACGGGGTTTACATTTTATTTTCTATTAGTTATTGTGTTTTGCTTGTTTTATTGTGTTGCTACTGTTGTTTATTTTGTTTTTTTGTTTTTTTCACAAACAAGTTCATTTATTACGAAAACTATATTTACTATGTATCAATGCTCGTTTTCATCATCATCATCATCACCATCATCATCATCATCATCATCATCATCATCATCATCAACAACAACAACAACAACAACAATAACAACAACATCAGCAGCAGCAGCAGCATCTCGAGGTAAGATCTTAAAGCCAGGTATGTTTAGCTATGGACACATGTTTTAAGTCATGCCAAATTGTAAGAAACCAAAGTATTCCCTTAAAACTCTTTTATTTTCACACTGAAACTTACTATGTACTGATGTGACCTCATTTACTGTATAACGCTACTATTGCATACCATAACATAACATTATTTTTAAGTACAGCGCAGTGGCTGGTTTGTGCCATGTCGTATTTTCGGTCAGCCGGGCGCCGGACAAAACACGAAAATACGGTCATATCACCACGCTGTCGTATCCTGATTTCCTGGTACCAAGCGGAGCGAAAGTTCAACAGAGCATACACAAGTCACCATACATAAAAGTATTTAATGGTGATAAGTACCAGCAGTGTGCAAACAGAAAAAAGTTTATTAATGTAGCAAGTCTACAATAACAAAAAAAAAAACACTAAAAAAGCATCAAGAAATAAAATCAAACCAACAAACAAAAATAACCCCTCCCACAATAACATTTAATTTTTATCTGAGTTGGGTATTTCTGCAAAAGGTTGTGAGTGTCGGAAATTTAGTTGCCGTTATATCTGGGATATATGTCGATTACATTTTAAGTGATGCCATTTGTCGTTTTTTCGTTTTTAAGGAACTATTTTAGAATCGCTCCGACTTTTTTTTTTTGGGGGGGGGGAGGGGGGTATGTCTTAGAAGTCATGAACACTTTATTTTTATCATGATTATTATGGAACCTTGAAAAGTTTCAGTAAATAGGGAAATATCATATTATTTGGCTTCAGACTCATTGAGGTATTACTTTGGGTTCAGATTGCAAAATGATGTATACCTACAGTTGATGAAATATATTTAAGGGTAGTACAGTACTTTTGAACAGTGTATTTGATTGCCACCAGTACAGTCATTGCTTAAAATGAATGTTCTACTTATGTATACGTGTGTTTTATTTAATAAGTTTCAGTTTGCCTTACCTTTTTCTCACATTGATATTAATCTTTATGTAAACAAAGTTATCATCGTGGGACAGTACTTTGTCAAAAATGTCCGAGGGTAATGTTTAAAAACAATGTGTGAAGAACGTCTCCAATATATAACGTATATAAAACGTTTTTGTAACGTTTGTGTTTTACGAAATTGAAATAATTCTGTTATATACATAGAATGAAAAGTAGAAATCAACTGTAAACTCAAAATTTTCCAAGAAGTTATATATGATCCTTTTAAAATTTCATAGAGGACTTAAAAAGACATAAACTGATAACCCTTTTGGTTTGCATTACTATTGTTGTATATAAACCGATTCATGACATATCTGTGAAATGTAGCCTCCAAGCAAAGGCATATTTCTTAGTCAGCCCTTTCATAAAAGGGCGGACGTCCCTTTTTTACCAGAACTTTTAGTGCTTTGATTGTTGTGCAGTGATTCATATTGCAAATGTTATCGATTTCCTAATTTAAAAATCACAATATTAGACGCTATGTTCCGACATGTAACGATCTGTTTATATGTAAATATAGATGAACTGAATTTCTTTATTTGTAAAGAAGATCAAAGCTATATCTAGAACATTTCGTGATAGATAAGCATGAAACGAGTTCAAACTGAGATCTCTCTTACAGTATATTAACATTGGAGTGTGGGATTTCCATGATGTAATTAAAGCTGCACATTCGCAGATTCATTCTAATTTTCATGAAATTTTAGAAAATGTTTGTAATAATAAAAATAGTATGAAGCGGACGAATAAAGTTATCTAAACTAGCGTTGCCTGATTACAATCCAAATATTCAAGATAAACGTGTATGAGTATGTATTAATATGGTGATAAAAAAGTATATTGAACCTATGTGCTACGCTCATTGCTTCGCAACTCAAATACACTCACGTTACTTCAGACATGTGACCGATAGTAAACATCCGACCTATGTGCAGGAGAGTACCTATGTACAGGAGAGTACCTATGTGCATAAGAGTACCTATGTGCACGAGAGTACCTATGTGCAGGAGAGTACCTATGTGCAGGAGAGTACCTATGTACAAGAGAGTACCTATATGCAGGAGAGTACCTATGTGCATGAGAGTACCTATGTACAGGAGAGTACCTATGTGCATAATGTAATGTTAATAAATGAATAGTAGACAATTAGACAATTTCATACATTTCTAAAACTCTAATTACAAATTGAAATTTGTGATTTTCGCACCTTTTGTTATCTCTCATCGAGTCCGCAATGTTCACAACTTTTACAGTGGGTGGGTTACTTTACAATGATTTTATCAAGAATCTGTTTTTTTTAAACAAAAACAAAAAAGCAGCATGCTTTCTTCGCTCGCCTTGATGTGAGGTGCTTTAAAGTTAAAACGCACATCAAGAAAATCAACAAAACACAACTATAGCATTCATACCAACAGCTGAAAGGAAGGATTCTAATAGGATAAAATACAAAATAAAAAAAATGTAGTGCATTTATTGTCCTGGTTCGCTAATATCGGATTACAAGATGCCGTCCAAGTTACGTACATTTTGCTTGCATTTATTAACAAAAGTGACAAATTTATTGGACAACAGTTGTTATTTGGAAATTACAGTAATCCCACGCAATAGAGTTAAACTTTCACAAATCCAGCGAAATAGAATTTAGAATTAATGCCATTGAAAAAAAAATTACTCCTGAAACAGGGCTTGGTGTGCATTGAATATAGTTTTCATGTATAAGAGAGGAATCATTTTAAAATTGGAGAATAACACACACTCTTAGTGTGGTGCAAGTCCTTATCTGCACTTAACACACGTAGAAAGTTTAAGCATATACAGAGCTTATCGCATCCTTTTAGATGTGTATTTACAATTGTTTAGGAATGCATATAAATTACTAAAAGGTTAGAAATGTTATATTTTATTATTTTTAGCACGTAAATCACGTGCAAATATCATTATGGATTGTCGTTTTAATTGAAAACATTATACATGTGTACCTGTGTTAAAGTTTATACATGTGTACATGTGTTAAAGTTTAACCTGTTGAATTTCATTACCTTAATGGAATGGCACTGCATTGAATTAAGTACAGTCCATGTCAAAGTTTAATGGATTTCAAATTCAAAGGGACTCCTCTGAGGTTAAAGGGTTCCGGCGGATGTAATGGTAAATGATGTAATTTAGTATGTATGGTATTGAACAGCACAGGTGACCAAATCACGTGTCCAATCGACAGACTTTAAAATAAAGATAATAATAATTGCAAAAATTGCAATGTATAAATATCTGAAAAAAAAGTGTATTTGTCCTCAACGGAGATTCGAGCCTGAAACTTCGGCACTACAAACACCGCTTTATAAGGTATTAATCGATAACAAAATGGTTTACAATTTACTTCATGCATAATACATGTATGCATGTCTGGCATATCACCAAGATATATGAATAGATAATATATAATATATGTTTAATATATCATTTACAGATCCTGGGCACAATATGGCTAATACAACAACAAAAACAACAACAACAATCACCACTGCCATATTTGTATTGTCACTTTGCAATGTGATTTTATTCTCAACAACGGACGGATATATCTTTGGAAACGGTCAAGGTGATTATATAATAATATATTAATCATTTATAAATTAGAATGGTTCTGTCTTACAAAGCAAAATATGCAAATATAGCCATTACTGTGTTAGTCCCGCAGTAGAAATCTGGCGATAAATATTGCACAATCAGCCATCAATCAGACAAAACATTTATTTTACTAGCATCTTGAATCTGTTTACTTTTTTTAATCTTAGTTCAATTTTCCTAAGTTTGATTTTCGCTGATCTGTAGGTATAAAGTTTTAAGACATAATAAGATTTTTGCAAATGTGAGATTAATCTTCGCTGATAATCAGGTTGGAATATTACAAACTTACTTAACAGAACAGAATATACGTTTTATTTAAGACTTGTACATAGTACATCGCGATGCAAGATAGAAAAGTAAAACAATTATCACGTCACGTGATCATGATAACACAAAATACAGTACGATACTTATCAGGTAATAGAAAATACATTGTTTACAATAGGAATGTTAAGATATGCAATTAGTTAGTATTGTCTCAAACATAACAGTACTAGGGATCCTACTGGCAGGGTATTGTACATTGTATACAATAGTTTACCCAGTGAGTCTAACCATCCCACTGAAAGTAAAACTCCCTCCCGATAGAAGTAAAACAGCAGCAAAAATAATTAATTCGGTTAATATAAGCGGCGACACTTGTCTGCCTATGCCGTCTGCAAACGGTCAGGCCAGCCTGTATGAATATATATACAGCACGATAAAACTTCTGTATCTTTGCCTTTATAAATTTGAATTTTGAATGATGACCCGTTCTCAAATAAAAGCAGAGAAAAATTACTACTCACAATAATGAAAATAAGAACATAAGAAAATTTAAAATGGTACAAACTGGAAATAATGTAAAAACATATCGATTAGAAATAATGAAACATTCAACTTACCCAAACAACCGAAGACTACGACAACACTTCCACACTAACAAAGATAGCTTGTATCAAAATGTTAAATAATGTAAGGGAAGTAACTACGCCTGAACAATAACATTAGAAAATCAAATTATCTCCCTGGAGGTAATTTCTTCTTGAGTAACATTATAACAATACGAGTAGAAATCCATTATAACTTTCTATATTATAATAACAGTTAATTAGAACAGAACATAAATTAACTCTTGCAATCACTTCATTTCTTATTTCTTTGTTAATGTTGTTGTTGTTGTTGTTGTTGTTGTTTTTGCTGTTCAATGTTTTTTTGTTGTTTTTTTTTAAATGATAACAAAGTTTTCAAATATATCTGATTTTGCTTGCACCAGATTGTAATGTTTAATAAGACCAGACATTTTTCTGTTAAAAAAAGAAAAGAAATACAGATTTTTTTTATCTTCCGTTCAAGCCTTAAAGCTACATGCCCCCAGATGAGTCAAAATATTTCAATAAAATCAAACTTGAGATAAATGTACTTAGATGTAAGGAAAAGTAAAAAGGTGTCAAGATTCAAGTAGATTTTGCATATTGTGTGCCATTAATGACTGATTTTTCAGTATTAACAATTTTATTTCTATTGCGTTACTAAGACAGTAAGGGCTATTTATGCATTGACTACTTTTTGGTAATTTACGTGGTTTGTAAGTGACATTGATAATGTTTAAATTGCTTCCTTTTGGTGACTTCAAAATATTACACATTCAAATACATTTTCAAAATTTTCATGAATCTGGAGGCGTGCTGCTTTAAGATTATATTAACCAATTGTCTTAAAGTGTATTGATGTAGTTGTGGTGTTTTTGGGTAGTCTAGAGGTAGTATTGGATGTCTTCGGGTACTCTCGGGGTGTATTAGGGTAATCTTGGGGTGTCTTTCACCTGTCTGATGTTGGTAAAACAACATGTACATCTTTACACAATATGATACTTAATTTGCTTATACATGTAGTTTGTATTTATAACCAACGAAACATTCTGTTTTTCGTGTGAGAATTTTATGTTTATTTGTATACAACTTTCAGATGATGGGATCTTACGTGACAAGAAATTTATACTGGGGTCCGACTCTAAACAAAGTAAGTATACATTCTGTGTGGAGCATTGCAAAACAAAGTGGTAAAAGCATGTTAAAAGGATAAGCAAAGCAGAAAAAAGATTTCTATGTCATCTTATCGCTTGAGCAGTGTTATTATCTTATAAAGCTTCTTTTTCAAATTATCTATGTATTATTTACGTTTATTTTTATATCTTTCTTTATTTTATCTATTGTTATCATCATCATCATCATCATCATCATCATCATCATCATCATCATTAATTAATTAATTAATTAATTAATTAATTAATTAATTAATTAATTAATTATTAATTAATTAATTAACTAATTGATTAATTAATTTATTTATTTATTTATTGATTTATTTATTCATTCATTCATTCATTCATTCATTCATTCATTCATTCATTCATTCATTCATTTATTTATTTATTTATTTATTTATTTATTTATTTATTTAATTATTTATAAATTTATTTATTTATTTATTTATTTATTTATCTAGATCTTATTTATTAATTAATCTATTTATTTTAAAGAGATAAATAAATGAATTTATTTATGCTATGACAAAAGTTAAACTTGTTTATGCGGCGAACACTGGAATGGCGTATAGCAATCCGCTTGCCTAGAATACGAAAGACATACTGGTATGGTATAGACTGTTTCCAAACATAAAAAAAAATTACACAAAAATTCTGCTTCATTAAAAGCACATGAACATTCAACTACGTAACTCATTTATTTTTCTTGCATTGTGTTTTTGTGATTATTTATGTGTTTCTGGATGTTCAACTCTAAGGTTGGACCACGTTGGAACAATTCTCTTCGTGTGCTTTAACGTGTGTTCCTGGGTTTGAGAAGCTAACTCAAGTATGCTGTGACACTGGCCTAGATGCTATATGTTCAAATCTCCCGTGGGCTTCGCTCAAAGCAAAGTTGGGAACTTGTGTCGGTATGTGTAAAAATATCTAGTTAATTTTTGTACGCGTTCTAAGATATATTTTACTTGTATTTCTTTTGTTCTACAACATTTTTAGATTAATTCAACTAAGCCCATTACGCCTCAGAAATGCTTTTATTTTTATTTCTCAAAAGTAACCAAAAAGTTACTCATTGGCCAAGTACCTAATCCATCTACGTATTTCTTCCGTTTTTTTTTCTTCTTTTTTTTTTCTTTCTTTTTAATAAGCATTTTGTATGGAAGTCAAAATACTAGTTTGTTTACATTTTGCTACATTTATGACAAAAATATAAATTTAACATTTATCGTTTCCATTTTATTGATGAAGTATTAAATATTCATTTTCAGATTTATCAGCATCTGGAATAACATCAAAGGGTTCGTGTAAATTAGAAATTTGTTGTCACTATTCTATTAAATTATTTTTTATATTTCCACTCATTTAATGATACTTAAAATAGCATAGCATGAAGTTTAAAGACCCCTTCTTCATAACCACTGTACAACAAAAGCACTGTCTTACTTTAATTTTCATTATTGTACAAAGAATATATTTATTGTACCGCTGAAATATTTAAAGAAGTTATATATTGGTAAGAAGTTAATTTTGACCGACGTCGAAGCCTATTTATATCTGAGACTCTTTGGCTGAGTGGTTACATACAATCTGGTCATCGTTTTCTTGCACTCGCCACTTCTCCTCGAGCCTCATAAAGAAATCTGCTTACTAATTTGCCTTCCATTTATAGAAAGAGCTCACATTTCCTATAAAACCCAATGATAATATACGTCATTTTTAAAAGGTTTTTATAATAACTTACAAAATACCTTTCACTGTTTATTTCTTCGTATATGCAACTAATCAAGTTTTTTTTTATATTTTGTTTGGTGTAATGGATATTTACGAACCAAGCTTTCTAATCATAAGTAAGTGAAGACTATAATGGGGAAACTCAGTTCATTCTTAAAGGGACTTGACTGAGGGTTTATTTACATGGCAGGACTGAAAATAAGTTTTCGAGATAAATGTTCCATTTGATGTAGGTCTAGACCAATAACCTTTTCGCAAAATTTCAGATTGTTCGCCTATTCCGTTTTTTCTAGAATAGTTATTCAAATTGTTAAATATGAATGTTTTTCATCCCAATTGGCCTAAGAAAAGGACAAAAATACGGCTTTCAATTTATTTCTAATATATTTATTAATCTTCTTTGCATATCTGTCTGTCGTATTATATAAGAAATTTTTCAGATCTTCCTTAGTGGAGTCCCTTTAAGTCTAATCAAGTCTTAATGCCTGTCGAATTTCTTGCCCTGAAGTCATGTATTGGTCGATTGCGTTGGCCGCAGCGTTCCGTGAACAATGCCTATCATTATTGTTCTTGCAAATATTGCTTCATCGTCGGATACCCACGGTTGATAAACATGTAACATAACATGTCATCAACGTTAATGGTTCGGGCGTGGGTATCCGACGATGATATTTTTTATTTACTTGGCACAGCATGGTCATCACTGGAACAGTTTGCGGCTTGTTTTCTATCATGTGTACCTGGGTTTGAGAAGCTGATGGAGGTATGCTGTCAGTCTGGTCTGGATGCAGTATGTACGAATCTGCCATGGGACACGCTGAAGCCAAGTCTGGGACAATGTCAAGGTAAGTTTGTGATATTGAATGGTACAATGTCTATAAATATATAACATACGAGTATTGCATAGATATGTTATTCTGGGTTGATTAAAATTGTATTAACATGAACATGAAAACATTTAATTTTCCTTTTATATACATGTCCCTAGTATAAAATGCGCACAGAACAATCTAAGCAAGACATGTATATATACCAGTCTTTTGATAAGTTGAATTTGTTACCGCTGCTACGCTTCATTATTATAAAAAATTATATACTGGATATCTTAATTTCAACTAGATCTATGACAAAAAGATAATAAACTATGATCAAATGTTGGATTCAGATACTGTAGACAATGCTTTGTGCCGTGGAAGGTAGTAACATGAATATTAACCTGTACAAACTCATTTAAACATAACGTTTTTTGCAACGAAAAAAATAGATTTTTTGTGGCGGCAAGGCCGAGTGGTTAACGCGCCGTATTAGTAATCTAATGATCGCTAGCGGCATGGCTTCAAACCCCGCCAGGGGCAAATCGTCGTTATCTTGAGCAAGAAACTTTATACTCATGGCTCAGTACTGGTTGGTTCCAGGAACGGATTCGAAAAATGTGTATATTACGGAATGCCGTTAGGGCCATCGCCTATGAATGTGTTGATCTGAAACGCGATAGTCGATAGTACGATGGTGAAAACGCGAAATCACGAAACTACGATGGTGAAAACGCGATAGTACGATGATGAAAACGCGATAGTACGATGATGAAAACACGACAGTACGATGGTGAAAACGCGATAGTACGATGATGAAAACACGACAGTACGATGATGAAAACGCGATAGTACGATGGTGAAAACGCGAAAGTACGATGATGAAAACACGACAGTACGATGATGAAAACGCGAAATCACGAAACTACGATGGTGAAAACGCGACAGTACGATGGTGAAAACACGACATTACGATGGTGAAAACGCGATAGTACGATGATGAAAACACGACAGTACGATGATAAAAACGCGATAGTACGATGGTGAAAACGCGAAAGTACGATGATGAAAACACGACAGTACGATGATGAAAACGCGAAATCACGAAACTACGATGGTGAAAACGCGACAGTACGATGGTGAAAACACGATAGTTTATCGCGTTTTCATCATCGTAGTATCGTACTGTCGCGTTTTCATCATCGTACTATCGCGTTTTCATCATCGTAATTTCGCGTTTTCACCATCGTAGTTTCGTGATTTCGCGTTTTCACCATCGTACTATCGACTATCGCGTTTCAGATCAACACATTCATAGGCGATGGCCCTAACGGCATTCCGTAGTATATAAGCTAATAGCTTCGTAGACAATCGAAATGAAAATAAATTCTGTATAAACCAAAAGATAGATTTTCTGTATTCTTTCTCATAATTATGACAAAAGAAACTTAAGTAGCTGCTGAACTTGACAAAAGCCAAACTTTTTGTACTTCTGATTTGTGGAACTTCTAATATTTGAATTAAAAGAGGTTTATCCTTCGGAAGCAATGAAACAAACAAAGTCATATGAGCAGACTCGCTTTGATTGAGGTTTTTCATGGGAAAGACAGGTTATCGGCGTGGGACCAAGCCCCACCCCTAGGGTACCTATGTACATAGTTAATAGTTTTAGTAATATATTTTTGAATAGAATTGTTAGATTTTATATTGACATGTATTTTAAATGGGTTGAAGTATATTTGGGTAGTATAGTGGGTCCTGGGGGTGATACCCTGGGGGTAGGTCTTGGTCCCACGCCGAAAACCTGTGATGAGAAACACTGTATACAAGTGTAACATTTCTCATGCCCTCTAGCACCGGCTTTACCCTAACGTCAGTTAGCAAGGTATGTGTTTATTATGCCTAATGCTACAGTCAGTTGTAACCATAGTCCAGGGCTGCCCCTTCCCACCCTGCCACACCGGAAGGGCGGAGAAAGTGCAGGAAATAAGTCCACTATTTATCTATCTTCAGTTACCATACTGCCGGGTCAATGCAATGTTATTTAATGTTTGGTTGACGAAATTGTTGGTAATATATCCGAATCATAGTTCCGACGCGTCCTGTTTTTGTTTGGTGTCCTTCTGGGCTCGTTGCCTTGGTCTAATGTTGCTGGGTCGTGTGGGGGTTGCATTAATTGAACACCGCCATTTTTTTAAACATTGATAGCAGGAAGCGAAGATAAAAATTCTATATTTTGTACTTATTATATGTTAAATAAACATTTTTAGGATCATCAGTGACGTCATCACCATTAGTGACGTCTCAAGCAAATACGTCACCACCTACAAAACCGCCTACAACCCATTCACCCACACCTCACTGGTTACTATGGGCTGGTTGGACATGTTCTATGCAGAATGGTGAATGCGTTCAACTTCGATATCGACATTGCTCAACTGGCCGTGATATTGATTGTCCGGGTAAAACATACGAACTGCAACTCTGCACCAAAGCAGCTTGTCCGGGTAATATTTATATGTAACAGATATTTAAAAGATCTACCTGAAAAAAACAAGAACAGGATAAATAAGTAAAATCAGGAAGATAATGGGAAAGCTCGCAAGCTTTTTGTCGTAAAGGCAGTAAGGTCGAAAGAAACCCGGGCATAAACACTATTTTCCTGATTTACTTATTTTTTAAATCTATGATTAATTAAGTATATGTATGTTTTCTGTAGGTAGATCTACACGAACACTTCCAATTTGTTTACGGTCACCAGGCATTAAACTGACATTACAGTAACATGTGCATTGTGATTAAGCCATTTTTATACCCGTATGTTTGTTACGATTTTGTGATTATTCGTTGTAATCGGCAAGAATATGTGAAACAAACGAAAAAAAAGCTACACCTATGGCATTGGACAAGCGGATATGTGAATCTGCGCCCCGCCCACGAGCAAGAGAAATATCCGTCATGACACATTTGGAGCACGCAAAACACCACGGCTTATTCTGAAGAGAAAAAAAAAGAATCTGACCAAATCAAACCGTAGTGTTCCTGCCTTATACTGCCCTCACACATACCTCGCGACCTTTCTACGTCCTTACTGCGACCTTACTACGACCCAGGACGCAGCACAGTCGCCATGGACGCAGCAGGGACGCAGCGAGGTCGTAGCGAGGAACCCAAGGACGCACAAGGTCGCAGACCGTCGGCGACTATTTTGAACATGCACAAAACAGTCGCAGAAACTCTGCGTTCTTGCTGAGTCCTGGTTAGGTCGCCGTGGGATCGCAGTGGAGTCGCCATAGTCGCAGCAGCATCGTAGTAAGGACGCAATAAGAACGCAATAGACGTAGTACACTCGTACTAAGGACGCCGTAGAGTCACCGATGAAATTACAAGAAATTGCTCGGAAACCTTTGGCGACGCTACTAAAGGTAAAAAGTATTGTTTTTATAGACGTAGCAAGAAAGTAGTAGGGTCGTCGTACAGTCGCAGGACAGTCGCCGGACAAACGCAATAGTCGTCGTAGAGTCGCCGTAAGGACGCAGAGAACATAGCACAGTCGCAGCTGGGTCGCCGATGATCGCCGTGGGGTCGCCTTGGGGACGCAATACAGTCGCAGTGGAAACGCCATGGACGTAGAAGGGTCGTATTGAGGACATAGAGAAAACGTACTGAACACAAGACTGCAGAGCCCCGGACCGTCTGCGAGAGAAATTTGGAAAGAAAACCAACGATTTTCGAAAGAAAAATGTTATTTTACTAGTTTTCAGGTCGCAGTAAGGTCGTGGTTTATGTGTGAGGGCAGCATTACATGATGTTGATTTAAGAGTATATAACCTTTTTTTCTATTTTTGCTACATAACTAGCTGTATATACCGAAAACCCATAGAGCGTGGGGATATGGGGATATAACCACATTGTTTTAAAGAGTGATTTAAAACAAGACGCTTTATGTCAACTTAATTCGAGACATTCGTGTAGATAATTTTTGTAATATTTTGTTCGTAACATAGCTTAAATTTTCTATTTTTAGATATGTTTACAACGACACCGGCACCGACAACACAGGCAACCACGACACCATTAAGTAATTACGTTTGTATTTCTTCAGATTCTCCGAAAGTAATGATTTCTGCAAACTTTGTACCGATTTATTTGGTAATATTTAAGCACAAACATTAGCTCATTGCCTTGTCTGATTATTTTGCATTCCAAATTGATTTATGTATTCATATGCATTCGTATTTTAAATTCATAAATGTATTAATATTTATAAACTTATCTGATTAATCCGTATTCAAAATTCATTAATGCAGTTATATTCATACACATGTCTGCTAAATCCGTATTTCAAATACATTAATGTTATTGTTGTAATATTTATGCACGTGTCCCCTAAATCCGTATTCAAAATACATTAATGCAGTAATATTCATACAAGCGTCTTATAAATCCGTATTCGAAATACATTTATGTAGTAATATTCATGCACTTGTCTGATAAATCTGTTTTCCAAATACATTAATGTAGCAATATTCATGCACGTGTCTTATAAATCCGTATTCGAAATACATTTATGTAGTAATATTCATGCACTTGTGTGATAAATCTGTTTTCCAAATACATTAATGTAGTAATATTCATGCACGTGTATATTCCACTTTTACAATGTATCTGCATTCTGCATTTTATTGTACCATTTCAACACGTTTCCAAAATATCTGTGCATTTTTCATATTATCTGTATTGTTTATCATAGGCACGTGTCAAACTGTAAAGTAACCTTTTTATATTTATATGCGTATCTTGTTAATAACCTGATATCAAATTATAGTATTATAGTGTTTACTATTGATTATGAATATACGCATTTCGTTACTAAAAATTGTGTATTTTAATGTGCACATTCTAGTCACGTGTCAAGATGACCCGAATGCTCCAGGATGTAAGGATCCCAGCATTATTACGGAGATATGCAAAGATAGTCAGATAGCCTTGAGCGTATGTCCTAGATCTTGCGGTCTGTGTGGTAAGTATCGTTTATTGTTTGTTTGTTTGTTTGTTTGTTTTGTTTTGCTCGTTCGCTCGTTCGTCCGTTCGTTCGTCCGTTCGTTCGTTCGAACAATGAATGCATTGGTTTTAGTGGGTTCCGGAGGCATCCTTTACCCCATCCCCTGCAATTTTTTAAAAATCTAAAATATGCATTCTCAAAGCTGTATTCTTAGGTATTTTAAGTCATATTCAGAAGAAAGTAAATGTATATTTTTTTCGCATTTTCTTAACATTGAAAACTTTTCTTTTCCATCGATCTAATTACGCTCATAATTGTTTGGAGAGTGTTTTTTTCTCGTAGTGCCAAATGTTTGTATTGTTTTATTTGCAGATCAAGTTCAGGCAACCGCAGTAAATAAATACACTTCAGGTAAAAGTTGTATATCATAATTGCCTAGATCACGAAATTACGGATTTACGCCGTATTAGCTACGGAAACTATCCGGGCTCATTCATAGGAATGTGGTCCGCAACTTCCCGTATTGCGTTGCTCTCGGTTAAACCCGTAGTTACCCCGTTGTATTTCCATACTGTGGACTATGGAAAAAGGGCGTTTCCGGTGATAATTCCTTAGATTTAACCTGTAGCGGTCACGGACAGGTGGTCAGCGAAGTTGTGATCTAAGCATTTGCGTAAAAGATAGATTCTGATGGTTATGAATTCAAATTAAGGCGGGAAAAGGGGTTCAGTTTAAAGAAACAAGTGGAAATATAGCTATATTCTTGTAAATGTTTCAATTCCCTTAACAACCATTTCTGTGCTAAGTAACTTAAAGTTACTCGTCAATTGGTCAAAAACATTCATCATTTTAAGGGTAAAAATAAAGTTAATTACTGATGAATTATTGATAAAAAGCGTACAATGCATACGATGATCAGACAGCGCGAAAATGGATTCAATTTAACAGTAGTGGCAGAGGTGTCCGGTTTATATGAAAGTGAAAGAAGTTTCAAATTAACATTTCAAGAATGATTTTCCATTCTTTATGAAATTCAGAATCAATCAATTACATAAAGTGTTTGCCAATAAGTATTATGACATTTTAGTTGTCATTAGGCGGTCCGAACCTAACAAAAATGTTTTAACTAAAATCTGTATAATTCAACTTTGTTAATGATACAAAAGACATTTTTGTTTTTTTTTCTGTTATCTGTCTCCATTTGGTTTTCAGGTAGCATAATTTCCAGCGTTCCAACATCGGCTGTCACAACAGGTAAAATATATACAGGCTGAACGTTTGTTTCCTATAATCTCGCTAAAAAGAAAACAAAATTATTCACCTTGAGGTGTAGATACGAGAATGCACTTTCCGTATATAATTTAATAAAACCAGTATAGATACATTTTATTTCTAAATTAACATGCATGTGGCATTGTATGGTTTTCGTATAAGTGAGAGCATCCACTTAACGCAAATTCATGATTATGATGACGTCACGAAACTCTTTAATTTTTGTACGGGGATCATAACAATTACTGTAATATTTACATACTGGCAGTTTTAAAGTGCTATATGGCTGATATGACTGTTTCACTGATATATCAAGTATTTTAATAAAAAGCGCACGATAGATAATGATATATATCTTAGATATAATACAATGTATGCGCGTGACCTTGATATATCGTGACAGTTATCGTTGTAAGAGCTTGAAGTCACGTGAGCGTTAAGACCTCAACAGACGGTAGGATTTTGAAGTACAACACCAATTAAAACTAAGATGTACAGGCAAATCTTAATGTGTGAAGGCTACTATTTCTTTAATTCGGAAACCTTAAGTCTAGATGTAAGGGATAGGACATGTTCTATTTTGAAAATCTTGTCGTACAGATTTCTACAGACCTCCCACAATGGCAAGTAACAGATTACCAAATTATCTCCTGATAATGGGTGTAATGAATGAAATTCCCGAACAATTAGGGATAGTAGTACGATGGGGTAAAAATGATGTTGAAAAACTCTTCAGGAGACCCAAAGTTGTGTTATGTTCGAATCCCAAATTATTCCGAAAATGATTATGTCACGGTATTGAACTGTTCTCTAATCAGGGGAGAGGATGTAGTTTGTTGGCGGCCGGATAGCTTAGTCAGTAGAGCCGCAGTGCGGTATTCCGAGGTCCCAGGTTTGAGTCTCGGTCAGGCTTCATATTACAATAAATATATAGATTTTTTTTTAAATAGAGGTGTTTCAATCATTACTCAAGCCGAAAAAAGTATTTAGTGAGTAAAGTTTGTAAAGGATCATTTGGGAAGGGATCCTTTTTAGGGAAACCTCAGATGATTCCTGCAGTGTAGAATTACCGTCTGAATGCAAGTGTTGTATTGCTTTGAAAATTGTACATCTTATCTCTAATTAGTACTGTACAACTAAATTCTACCGTCTGTTGAGGCCTTATTATAAGCAACTTCCCGCCATACAACTTGTATGAAACATAATGCCTTTCTGTATACCATATGTGATGCTGGAATTTCTCAACTCCCGTGTGATGTTTCAGACACGTGCCAGGATGACGTGGCTTCTGGTGCTTGCGGAGACCCAACTGTCCTTGCGGCTCTTTGTAACGACAACGCTTATGCGTGGCGGTTCTGTCCAAAATCTTGTAACAAATGTGGTAAGAATATGATACTTTTTAATTGGTTCCTTGGCAGCGCTGATAATAATTTTTGATGATAATGTAAGTAATATGATCTTCAATGGTAACGAGGAAAATGACTTTAATGTAAGTTGTATGATGGTGATGATAAAAATGAAGATAGTTATAATGCTGATGATGGTTTGGATGAAAATGACACTGCTGTTGATGCTTATGATAATCAAATATGATGCGTTGATGAGGATGTGAATGGTGATGATGATGATTACTACATGATGACTACATGATGACTACATGATGACTACATGATGACTACATTGATGAAGACGGGCCCGAACTTTGGCTTGGCCGGCTATAGACTACACGTGTAATTTAAAGGGAAATCGAATAGAAAACAATTAAAAAATATATAGACTTCTATACCTATCAGTCATGTCTTGTTGGGCGCCACCATTTTAATGAAACTAAATGATAATAGGCGGGGCATTGCGATAACGGAACAATCGCAACTTAGCACTAGCACTTTAAAAACGGAAAATGTAAAATAAAAAATGAACAATTATTTTAAGCGATTTCCCTGTTCATAGGCTTTGCCCTATTTCATATTTTTGTGAAAATGATGATGATGATGATGTTGGTGATGATGATGATAATGATGATGATGATGACTATAGTGATGATAGGAAAGTAGTGAATGCTGGTTGTGCGAATAATAATAACAACGATGACATTTATATTATAAAAGTATGTCAACTATTACCTAACGAAAAAAAGCTTTCTTTGCATCAAAATCATTCTTTCAAAAAGAAGGTTATTTTATATATTTAGATACGTGCTGGGATTATTTAAACTGTTCGGATCGGAATGCCCAGGCATTGTTTTGTGGAAGAGAGGATTTTGCTTTGCAATATTGTAGAAAAACCTGTGGAAAGTGTAACCGTGAGTATAATAATTACATGAATTCTTCAACTTTCATTTCTGCAAAGAATATTTTGTTTTTTATTTCGTTCAGTAGCTTTAACTATATATTAGTTTTGATCTACAGGTGTTTTTTATATAAATGAAAATGAAGTGAAGATTAAAAAAGTTATGATCACATTGTGTGTTGTTGGTCAAATGAAACTGTCATTCTGACTAGGTGTAGTAATTAATTATTTCGATGGGGGAACTCGGGTTATTTTTTAACAATGTTTAACAACTATTTGCTGTCGTAGCCATTCAGCAACACAGATGAACTATAAGTCGAATAATTTGTTTCATTTGCCTTAAATACTCAATATTTCGTCTATTTTTACTTTTCAAAAAAAAAAACCAGCATGATTTACCACTGGTTTCGTTCATTAGGTCAACATTTTCACTCAATTACCATGCATTTTACCATGGATTGTTGATTTATTTTATATGTAGATAAACCAGTGCCTGTTACTGTAAATGTATGCGGGGATCCAGTAGCAAACGAACTGATATGCGAGTTACTTCACAATGAGATATGCATATGCAACGACCCATCCGTGAGATCTTTATGCGGCAATTTTTGCGCGGACAGATGCGCGACAAAGGTCTCTAGCCTACCGGCTTGTAAGCCGGTGTCTTCAATATCGGTAAGAAGTTTCACTTAAAGCCTAAAAATACATACACATAATGGTTAAATATACGATGTACAGTTTAGGTTTGATAACCCATCAAAATATAATAGCCTGGAATAATAGTGTATCATTCAGTCAAACGTAAAGTGAAATATTTAAACACAAACATTGGCGTCATGATTCCGCCAAAAAAGGAGTGTTGACCAATATAAGACACGTATTTTTTCGAAAATACTTACCTATCCATTTTGTATACATTATCTAGTGGTTGGTTGCGGTATTTCTAACTATTTCACCAAAGCGTGAAAAACATTATTTCCGTAAGGGGGAACATATTAACAAACGACAAGGCGAAATAGTGCAGAGTACAACATGTTTTTTTTTGTTTGAGCACACCTAGTTTCTAACTTGTGTTCTATAATGCGATGCTTTCTACTCTTTTCCACCGAGAAATGGTAGTAAATCTATACAAGTACGGCCGGTCCGACCAGTGACACGCCGAACTGCTATATCGTGTTTGAAACGAATTAATGTTGAAGAAATAAGTAAATATAATAGTTAAAAGGAAATAAGAGAGAAGAGTTTTTTAAATAAATGAACGAAAAATAAAGGAAAATAGTAAAAAGAAAACAATGGGTATCAATAATGCTCAAAATAATAAGCAACAGCAAGAAAGTCCACATACAACTCGAGCCCAATTCAAGCGGTAAATATATCATCACTTGGCTATCACCATGCAAATCAAGTGCGCTATAGCTCTAGTAGCATGCTACTTTTATAGTAAACAGTCACAAGAGGAATTAAAAGAATGGATAAGATTGATTATTCCATTATCATGATAGTACGTTGCAACACCGGATAATGTATGCCAGTGTAACAATAGTACGTTCCAACACCGGTCTTACAATAGTACGTTCCAACATCGGTCTTACAATAGTACGTTCCAACACCAGTCTTACAATAGTACGTTCCAACATCGATCTTACAATAGTACGTTCCAACACCGGTCTTACAATAGTACGTTCCAACACCGGTCTTACAATAGTACGTTCCAACACCGGTCTTACAATAGTACGTTCCAACATCGGTCTTACAATAGTACGTTCCAACATCGGTCTTTCAATAGTACGTTCCAACACCGGTCTTACAATAGTACGTTCCAACATCGGTATTTCAATAGTACGTTCCAACACAGTCTTACAATAGTACGTTCAAACATCGGTCTCTTACAATAGTACGTTCCAACACCAGTCTTACAATAGTACGTTCCAACACCGGTCTTACAATAGTACGTTCCAACATCGGTCTTACAAAAGTACGTTCCAACACCAGTCTTACAATAGTACGTTCCAACATCGGTCTTACAATAGTACGTTCCAACATCGGTTTTACAATAGTACGTTCCAACACCGGTCTTACAATAGTACGTTCCAACACCGGTCTTACAATAGTACGTTCCAACACCAGTCCTTACAATAGTACGTTCCAACACCGGTCTTACAATAGTACGTTCCAACGTCGTCTTACAATAGTACGTTCCAACACCGGTCTTACAATAGTACGTTTCAACATCGGTCTTACAATAGTACGTTCCAACACCAGTCTTACAATAGTAAGTTCCAACACCGAAGAATGTATACAAAATAGGCAGGTTAAAGTTTTCCGCCAACATACGATATAGCAATTGCAGACTTGTTAAACACAATACTTGTATTTTCGGACCCGATTTAACTTATAGCGACCGCGAAGTATCTTCCTCGGCCAAAATAGATTTTCTGCGGTCCAAAAAAAATCAAGACAAGTTTATAATTTTATAATTTGCTGTTACAAATACACATGGTGGTGTGCTGCTTTAAACTTATAATGTATTGATGTTTACCTATTGCCTTTATAAAATAAATATATGTCATTCATCTATGTCACTATACAAAACAACAATTAGCATTTAATGTCTGTATAACACATTGTCAACCAATGTCAGTGACGACCGAATTACATTTCCCTTTTAAAATATCCGAACTAATCAATGGTAATATATAAAATTAATGTCAGTACACATTTTGGATTTAATGTATCTATATATCAACTGGGGCAGTCAAAACAACAATATTCAAAGGTCATGTAGAAATAAACTCAAAAATAAATTGAAAACCTATTTTTGTACCATTCTTAGCCTGCTTTTTGGGTCATTTTTTACAATTAGCATAATCATTATAGAAATACAGAGAAAGCAAATGATCAGAATTTTTGCGTCTAGGCCTACATCAAATGGAAAAGTACTCCCGAAAAAATATTTCCAGTTCCTTAATGTAAAAAAAAACATCAGTGGAGTCCCTTTAACATATACGGTGTATATGAAAGCATTTATGGACCTACCGTTCGATTCTAACACATATCTTTTCCTTTAATTACTGTCGGACATACAGATGAAGTGAAATATTTAAAATTATAATGTTTGTTACAATGTTTATGATATTACAAAAAATGAACCTCTTTGTCAATAAAATGTGTATTTTTTTAAACAATTTGTCAATAAATGATGTGAATACTTTCCCAGGCTTTTATAAAACAATGTACGTAATGTTGCTATAACTTTTTTGCATTTTACATTTGTTCCTTTTTCAAGTGTTATCGCATAAAACGTTTGACTGTTTTTCACGTGTTGTTGCAAAACGCATGTGTCCCTTTTGCACGTGTGGTTGCATTATAGTTATTTCTTTCTTCGCTTGTTGTATAATACATTTGCCCCTTCTTCACGCGTTATTGTATATTACATTGGCATCTTTTAATTTCATGTTACATTATAAATATGCATCTTTTTTCCTTTTCTTTACAGAGTAGAAGACGTAGAGACGAGGTGATACGACAGTTACTTCTGGTCTGATTGTATTTGTATTCCTGTCATCAATTAAAACGAAGAACAATCAATTCAAATTAATTATTTCTAATTTGTTACACTAAAGTTAAAGGCAATAAATCAAATATCTGAGTTTATTCGTATTAACTTTAAAACGACGAAAAAGTTGAATAAACATTTTGTTCTATATGCAGAACAAGAAGTAAAGACAATAAAATCTGATACGAATATGTATTTTTACATTACATTTGACACGTATAAAAAAGGATATTCAAACTTTTTGCTTTTTTTTTCTTTTTTTTTTTCTCCATGCTTTTTTCCTTTAAGTTTCCTTATTTTAGTTGCGTTGGTGTGGTGTATTTAAAACAATTATTACTTTTTGATCATCTGTCAGTTTGGTTGAGCTATGGATAATTAGTGAGGCTGAAAAAAAAAATGGAGCCCCACACTAAATACCGTATTCCGGTATATACCGGACAAGGCGTCTGAATGATAATATGCTACAATCTTGCCTCTTTACCTAACGGAATGAACTTTAAAATGTCTAATTCATCTTTTCACACCGATTTATGTATGATAATGAATAAAATATGTAATAATCGGCGAAAATTAATCGGTATTTGTCTATTTTGTGATCATGATTTCTACAAGCGTGTAGAGGTACTGCTCCAATCCTGTAATGACTTAACAAAGATAATACCAAGTTTTTAATTTTCAACCATGAATAAAGCGTTTGTTTTACAATAACTTTATTTGTGAACGATCAATATAACCATCTCCTTCTCTGTAATAGCCCCTGATTTTTTTGTTCACTTGCGTTTCCCATCTCCATGTCACAAAAATGCTCTTTATTTATGTCACGCTTCCTGATGTTATATCTTTTGTCACGCATTTTACATGTCCATTGTGTGGCAAACTTGCTGAGTTGATATCTTGAGTCACGTTGTCTGGTGGTATATTTGGAATCACGTGTTCAGGTGTTATATCGTTGGAAGGTTCATTCTCCGAAGTTCTTTGTACTGTGTTATTTTGGGCGGACATTTCGAGAGAGGTTTGACGCCTCTCAGACGTAAGTGGGGACTCCGTTGTGTCAGAGTCTTCCGTGACTTTTGTCCCAATGAAGTGAAAGGCTTCCTTCACGCTGTTACGAAATTTCTTTGACAGCATTGTGTACATGAAAGGATTTATAAAGTTGTTTATTAAGAACAGCATGTGGGAAATCCCGCGAAAATGACTTTTGAACTCTTTCGAAGGAAATGCATTGTCCCCGACAACTCGTAAACAGTTGAAAATAAGCCTTGGTAACGGAAGTATTGCCGCCATTAAAATCACCATTATCACAATAGTTGACATGCGCTGCACCAGCTTCCGGTTGGCTGATTTAGCAGAAGACACTCTGAAAGATCGTCTGACGAGGGCTATTTTTAGAAAATGAAGAATCGTTGTAATAACGAGTGGCAAGAGGTATACTGTTATCCACCAGACGATAATAAATTCACTTGAAGTTCCGGGAATAATGATTTTAAGGGTAATTAGTCCGGCTAATGTTCCCAGTAATATCATTCCAAGCACCCAAACACAACATGATAGAATAATCACTCGGACAGGGCGCAGGAATATGTGAGCGTTCATTGGTCGAGCTATGGACATATACCGAATAACTGCAAGTAGTGCGACATGAGAGTTCGCCGCAAACCAACACATCGAGTTTAAAATGTAGAAAGGCCTGCTAACTATCACGGGTTTTGCACATGTGTATGAAATAATCACTGTTTCAAAAGAAACTGTCAGGTTTAAAGTTAAGAACAACAGATCGGCTACAGCGAGCGCGGCTATTCCAATAAATGTAGGATCTCTCAACTTCCGGTCTTTAATCACTCGAATAATTACCAACAAGTTTGCTAAAACACCAATGGTGAAACCGAGTTCTATTGCACTATAGATGCACTTTTGATTACAATATCCACAGGAATATGTCCCATGTTGTTGCACTCTTCCAGAACTATTCATTTGTGTCATGCTGCTATTGCAAACGCTACTTTCATTTTTAAAACCGTTTTGGCATTTTGGTAATTCCATTTTATAATTAAAAAATCATATCGTAAATTATTTATCCTATTGAGCCTAGACTGTCAGAATTATCTGTTTAACATGATTATCCTTTTCCAAACGTCTTACTAACACGATACCGTTGATGTTTTTTTTATTTTGTCGTTTGTTATTTTTTCTTTGATACACCGCAAAATGACGTCATAGAATAAAACGCAAAATTAATTGATATTCTAATTGTAATTTCGTGCTAAAACTGAAATAGAACCCGTGTTCTTTTTCCCTATTGATTGATGTTTACATTTTTATATTTTCACGACCAAATTCCAATATGACATGATAAATAGCACACGTGTTCATTACCTTAGTATATATTAAAGAGATCCGGGCTTAAAGCTGCACTTGTCTTATATAATCGAGCGTTAAAGGGGAGGTAATGCGCAATGATGTGAATGATCTGGTTCCCTGTCCTATTATGGTTCCCATCCAAGATGGCTGCCAATAATAACTGCACGGGTAACAAGTCTATGAAGTGATCTGTTTCCTCCCGTCGTTAAGTAATTTTGGTTCGAGCGGGCATCTGCACGATTTTCCCATGTTCATTTGCGACACTAATGCTTAGCCGGAAAAAGGAACTTACTTTAAAAAAAAATGTTTAAAAACTTTAAAACTCTTTATAAGATAATATTGAGTAAACTAAAGATAATTCAAATGGAATTTAATCTGTAAACATGTTCGACTATTCTATCTTCTTCAGGACAAACAATATAAAATATAAAACGGAGATGACGTTAACAACATATAAATTGGTGCAACGTCAACACCGTCAAACTGCGTTTCACAATTAGGCTCTTCATTACAGATCTATAAATTATAAATCTGTATATTACTTGAAAAAAGAGCAATATTATGCTGGTAAATATATGAGCTTTTTTACTAATTAAATGTATATAAAAGGTAAAATTATAATAAAGTTTCTCTATTTGCGACACGTGTAATTTCTCAATGACAACTTGTCCAATAATCATTTGTCTCTCACCGATGATACGGAAATCATTTTGGATTAGTGGCCGGTCACTTGCGGAGAAATCGGTAATTACTGGTTAGTTATCCAGTAAAACCGGTTAGGCAGATCGGCCGCCATAAAAGATACCAAAAAGAAAATTTTAATTTATAAAATCGGTGTTAAAATCCAGAAAAAAAGAACAAAGATGTACTTTGGAGTTTCAGTGCCCTTCTTAATTGTAGAGCAAAACTTTCTTAAGATAAATTTGAATTGTGCCTATATTTTTTTCTTTAACGGAGAAACGTTTTTATGAAGGGAAACATACTCGAAGATTTAAATTCATTTAAATTTTACATGTGTGGTGGAGGTGGGGGTCAATGTTTTGTGTCTTCTACATTTGATAACAACGCAGGTTTGCACAGATATGATATTTTACAATGTGCAACCTACTGTTCATTAAATATGGCCTGTGCGTCATGGTTGGCTGAGAGATTAACAGTGCCACCGGAGTGGCATATTCAACAGAGAGAAACATAAATAGTATGGGCCCCCACTCTAACATATAAATGTGAGAACAGATGGGGAGGAGAAAAGGGTATTAAATGGGCATATGAATTCATATAAACTTAAAAGCCGGTTTTTGCTCAATAGGTCTAGCGTTGGACTGTGAACGGGCGACCCAGGTTCGATTCCCGGACGGCGCAGGTCACATTCGTTGTAAAAATGAAAGTAAAGGCAATGCGATGGCAGAACTGTGCTCTGGAAAAGTCAATGTGGCTTACTGCCGTGATCCAGAGTGAAAACTTCCAACACCATATACATGTATCACCTAAAACTCGGCAGGATTATATGAAGTGACAAATTAAACACTGCGTTTTGTTCTTATAAAATTTATATCAGCATGCTTCAGCTTTAAGGCAAGTTTTCAAACTGTATCTAATTATAAAATCAAAAACATTGAAGCATGATTGATGCGATCGTTATACACTATCGCGACCGCATTAAATCGGTCTTTAAAAACAATGACAAAATATAACATGAATTATTAGGTTCACCGCAATGAACGTGACATCTGGTACGGGATGTTAAATATACTATTGTGTGTATTAAAAACTATTTTGTGATTGTCCCTTTTAAAGGGTGTACAGATATATGTAATGTTTTTTTTTGTTGTTTTGATATATCTATTTATTTGTTTGTTTGTTTGTTTGTTTGTTTGTTTGTTTGTTTTAATTTAAACATTCATTTATTTATGAATTAAATTTATTTATTAGTTTATTTTATTTATTCCTTTATTGGTTCATTAAATTTATTTATTTATTTTTTATTCATTTATTTATTAAATTTATTTAATTATTTAATTATCAATTTATTTTTTACAAAATTTAAAAACGGTAAAATTATGTCTTTTGGGCACATGTTATGGCGTTAAATAAAAAAAAGTTGTAACTTAGGTTTTCTGTTAAAAAACACAACGAAAATGTATTTTTTCCACATAGCCCTTTTAAAGGAACAATGATAAAAAGCAACTAATTTTTTAACTTTTTTATTTAGGGTTTGGGAAAAATTTCCGTATATGGTCATAAGTAACATAAAGTTAATTTGAGTTTGACTTTATATAAATAAATTTTAAAAAATAGGTTTTGTTTCGCTCGTTGCAAAAACTGTAATTTTATGTTAGTTTTCGCCATATGAGGGGGAATAAGGCATTAAAATTCCAGAAAATCTTTTTTTAAAATAATATTAAAAAATTTAATTTTATAATTATAATTATATGAAAATATCATATCCCCCAAAGTCGGAATGACTTTTTTTATTGTTTATATGCTTCGGTGCTTTGTTTTTTGATATAAAATTAAAATTTGTTTCGAAAAAGAGAAATGTGCTGAAATCAGATATGATAACCTTGATATCGAAGTTTAAAAAATATGTTTTAAAAAATTTATAAAAAAGTTAAATTTTGAAAGATGATCGGGGCCTTTTTATATATAATAAATTTATCAAGCATATAATCAAAACTCCATAGAAAAGTTGGGAATTTTCCCCAGAAAAATTATAAAGGTTTGATCGTTATTCGTTTTAGGAATACTGGGCCTAGAAACCCCCTTTTTTTAAAGAGGAACGTAGCACCGTTGGCATGGGGGGAAAAACCTCCGACTTTTCCCTCGGAATATAGAAAAGGACCTGTAATATCCCAGTAAACTTTAAAAAATACAAAATAAACAGCTAAAAAAAAACTTCTTTAAAAAAATTTTATTTTAATTAAATAGTAGTGTGATATATAATGTAAGTAAACTTGCTTGAAACCATGTATAACAATGTAATGATATGATAATTAACCATTATATCAATACTTTTTTAAAGACAATATGTGTTTTATTTACACATAGGTTTAAGTTAATTAACAGTGTTTTGTTTTGTACCGACATCGGTTACAGGTTATCTAATGACTATTCTCAAATATCCGAAAGTCAGTTGCATCCCACAGGTGTTTCGAAATGTTTATGCTTATGTACAGGCCAGTTAAATGTATGTTTTGAACCGACGTCGGATTTCAAATGACAGGGGTCTGGCAGTCGACGTTGGCAAATTTCCGGATGTCGCAAAAACAAATATTGACTGTTGAAATGATAATTCCAGCCATGACGAAGAAGGGCTAAGTATCGCGGCGGTCATTATTACCTGAAAACAGAAAAAAAGAGACAACAGCAAAGCAAATGGGAAGGGCGGGTGGGTAGTTTTTCCGTGTTAGTTCACGGCAGCTTCTGGAGCTCGGAGACTGGATCGAAAAAGGAATTTGCAGAAGCGTGCTCGGTTTATATACCCAGTCTACTAAGCATGCGCGAACGAGATTGAATGACTTGTTAGGAGGAGGAGCCAAATATACAGGTCATTGCAAAAATACTGTGACGTATAGTGTAAAAATAAAGAGTTTAAACTCAAGCGCTTAAACTGAATATTATTTTTCCAACATAGTCACTTTAAAGGAACAAATGATAATAAATGCAACATATATGTTTAACTTATTTTATTTATGGTTGGCATAAAATTTCCGTCATGACTGGTCATTAAGTAACATAAAGTTAATAGAGTTTGAACCTTTATATAAAATAGAATATTATAAAATAGGTTTTGCTTCGTTCATCGATTGCAAAACCTGTAATTTTATGTTAGATTTTCGCCAAAAGGGTCTCGAAGAATTGAGAGAGCCTTCCGCCAACAGCGGGCTAACATAAACCAAAATAAATGACTCAGTCATGACGATTTTATTGCAGATACTGGTGTGTTTAAGCATACACCACGAACGAAATTTAATTAATTAACGTAGTATTGTGACCAGACAGGAGTTAATGGCACCATCTACTCAAAAAGATCACGGGGTTTTAGGACTTTATCAACAATCCCTATTTCTAATAAAGTTTGTACTATTTTGTATGTCACTATAGATACGTTCCACCAAAGAGAACAGCCATATATCTATAAGAATGACGCAAACAAATCTGAGACTGAATTAATTAAAGTGCTTGGAAAGATGTTGCGCACAACCATAGGAAAATTTGTATTTATCTAGGCTTAAAAGAAAGTTTCTTCTTCATCAGCAGCTCGCTGACGAAGAAGAACCCATTTGAATCACACCGTAATGTTCAAGCAATATGCAGGTGGATTTAAATAAGAAGATACTAAATTGTAGGCTCTATGAAATGAAATGCACATGTCACACACAAAACTTCACATACAAGAGAGACATGCCACAAAAAAACGAAAAACTAATGAAAAATGTCTTTACTAGAGATGAGCCAACCGCCCATGCAAGGAATTGGGTCGCCGGAAAAACCTATTTTTAAACATGTTATTGTTATAACGAATTTGTTCTTCACAACGATACAATTTAATAACATATTATTGGTAATTTTTTACGTGAATTATCTGCAATGAAAAATGTACCAATACTTGGCCAAAATTCACCAATAAATGTACAAAATTACATTATTGTAGTTTGGGAAAAATGCAGCTATAAATGTTCAAAATTCCATGAATATCCTTGTGTAATTTGCACCCATATA